AAAAAGAAAGAAAGAAAGAAAGAAGGAACCATACCCAGCTATGTGCTGTCTATAAGAAACTCACTTTAGGCTCTGAGAGGCAAATCAATTAAAAGTGAAAGGATGGAATGGAAAAAGATATACAGTGCAAATCATAACCAAAAGGAACTGGGAAGCTACAAGAATATCAGCCCAAACAGAATTCACACAAGAATCACTGCTAGGGGTAGAAATGGCCATTTTATAATGACCAAAGGAACAATAAACTCAGAAGACAAAACAACTGTGCACATTGGCTTCGACACACCATGGATGGGACGCCCGGGGGGCAGGTCGGCAAGCAAGCGCGAGGCCGGAGGGCGTGCGAGCGGCGGCACTAAGGGCCGTCTGGACAGCACTCCCCGACACATGGCGAAGGCCTTTCCTTCCCACCTGCACAGACTGTTTTCCAGAACAGAAGGTATGGCAGACCGCACGAGAGGTCTCCACACATTTCTCATTGTTTTGAGACAGGGTTTTATTATGTAGCCCAAGCCAGCCTTGGACTCCTGATCCTCATGCCTGAGCCTCCTGCACGCGGCACTTGGGGTCCCAGGCATGCGCCCCCCCCATACCTGCTTTCAAGTCTCAGACTCAAAAAAGGAAGAGCAGCGTGCAAAGGCTATTCTTCACCAAAGTAGAAAGGAATGAGAGATCAACAAGAAAGGTTAACTTGGGAAATACCTGTAAATATGCAGAAATTATATATATGCATCTCCACTGAACAAAGAAGGAACCATATCACGACCTAGTGACAAGGAGATGCAATGTACCAATACTGGGGTCTAGCTAGAGCCTGCTAAGAGAGAAAGGTACAGGTGAAAATGCAGTATTAAAAAGAACTTTACTATGGGCTGTAGACAGGCGGATCGCTACGAGTCTGATCTAGCAGTGAGACCCTGAACACCCTGTAGACCCTTCCCTGAAAAAAAAAAAAAAATCTCACTAATTGCATGAACTTCCTCCTGAATAAAGTAGGAAAAACCCCAGCAAACTAAGCCTGGGGCAAGGAAGGTAGGAAGGGAATAATAAAGATCAGAGCAGAAAAAATGAGATAAAGATACAGGAGAAAAAATAGAGATTAAAAAAATGACGGATTCCTTGAATGAGCAATACAGGAAAGAAATAGATCACATGAAGCAGAGTCAAAGAGATGTAGAGGAACTTAAAATCTCAATCACAAGCCTGAAAAACTGTTTGCACGAAAGTGAAGATAGAGTTTCAGATCTTGAAGATGCTGGTGCAGCTAGTGAAAAGGTAAGAAAGGGTCTCTTAAAAACAACTAGGATGGAGGAAAAAATAGTTCATCACCTGCAAGACGATGCAAAGATGAACAGTGTGAGACTAATAGGCATCAATGAGAAGGAAGGAGTCAATACAAATGATATAAAAAGAATATGGGCAGAAGTAATAGCAGAAAACTCCCCAAATATGAGGAAACAATCTGATACTCATGTAACAGAAGCGTACAGAACTCCAAATAACTTCAACCCAATTAAAAACACACCGAGACATATAGTAGTCAAGATCCCAGAAATCCAACACAAGAATATCATACTGAAAGCCGCTAGAGAAAAGAAGCAGATCACATTCAAAGGAAAACCTGTCAGAATTATGGCTGACTGCTCTTCACAGTCCACGAAGGCAAGAAAAACAGGGAGCAGAATACTTCAAGTCCTCTATGAAAACAAATTCCAACCTAGACTACCATACCCTGAAAAACTCTCTTTCAAGATTGATGGAAAAGTGAAATACTTTCATGACAAAGAACAAAGAAAGAATTTCATGATGGCAAAACCAACCCTACACAGACTACTGAAAGATGTTCTAGAGAGGGACCAAAATGATCAGAACTCTACCAACAAGAACAGAAAAAAACCACTAAGTAGGACAAACAATTAAACACAGGAGAAAAAAAACAGTTACAAAACAGCATTCAAATAACATGTCAATCGTAAGTCAACACATCTCAATAATAACTATCAATGTAAATGGACTCAATTCACCA